TTCTAGTAATCTGGTGTTAGATTGGTTGGACAATTGACAAGGACAAGGCAAGGGCACTGTGTGTTTCAAGGACAACTTCAAGGCCGTTGTGTGTACTGAATTTTTGTAAAGCTCAAGGGGTATGAATTATGATGTTTAAATGGAATGGACCCGGATGTTTATATGTCTTGCAGTATTGACGTGCTGCGACATCATAAAGTCCGTGAGGACGATTTGCCCAAGCTGATGATGCGTAACTCTAAGGCGGTGAGTTTCCAGAACAAGGATGACCACTAATCGACATAAAAATGCTTCTGACTGGCCTTATGATAGAAAGCAAAGATGGGTCAACGAAATGTCTAAAACGGCAAGCTGGTCCATCTCGCATCTGTGGCCGTATGTGAGAAGTCGACATGCTGAACTAATGCACATAGATTCAAGTATTCGAAGGCAGGGAGGGCTGTTTGGATGGGCTATGAGTCGGACGGTTTGTCCCTGCCCTCCAAAATGCCCCTTGGGGGTTAATACTCCTTGATATGCCGATGCAAACTACTGGACAAGCTGCTCGAAGTCCATCGCCCCTCGGCGGCACCAGGAATGGATGGCACCATGCTGATCACATCATGGCCGCATGCTGAAATGACTAGAGAGAGATATTGGATATCGAAGGGCATCAATTACATGATATGAAGATACAACAGAGTCATGCCAGTGACGGGGGCCCTTTGCCCCTAAATCTGACCAAAAGAATGCAGTGATTCCAACCCAAAAAGGCTCAAAAGGTGGGCAAGGGTCCGCCTGCCCCTTTGGGGGGGTGTTGGTGGGTGTCCGTCATGGTCACCCTGGACCGTTGGGTAGCCGTGCATCATAGCGTGCCCTAAAATTGACAGCCTCACAGGCTGACATGGGTGAACAGGCGGACTCTGACGCCTTGTGACCCAACATGTGCGTGTCAGTGACCCCACATGTGTCAGTAGGAGTACTGACACGTGTACGAGGCATATGCGTACCTTGCACGGTGCGCCCAGGGCTGCCATGCACAGTAATGCATCATGGCAACCTTGGATGCCGTACGGGCCACCAGATTCTGGCCCCTCACCCCCGACTGACCCGTTTTTAGGTAGGCTGTGTCCCTGCCTGCCTCCAAGGCGTTTTGCATGCGGCATGAGGGGGAAAGGAGAGAATCCACTTGCGCACATAACCATTGCATTTGTTGGGGCTGCCGTCGTGCCGGTGTGGGGTATCAACATAGAAGACACTGGCCAAGAGGGAAGCGGAGAGCCTCAGTGCGATATGAACGGCGGTGGCAGCATGCAGCGGTGCACTCAAACATGAGTGCAAGAGTGTGGCTGCCGGGGCTCGGCGACAGCGATGAAGATGGCGAAATCGCATGGGCTGCGTTGCACTGCTTGCATGGCGGCGGCTTGCGTCGCCATGCATGGAATATGCATGCCGACAAGGGGCTGCGATCAGCGCAAGAAACGTTGGGATCCATGACGAGCTGGATTGCTAGGCGCTAACTGGATGCGAAGGCCTGCCCAGCGATAGGGGGTACGAACGAGGCGCTGGCGCCTACGGCGGAGGCATGGGGGAGCAAGCGAGGGTGGGCTTAGGCGAATTGCGGACGACGGGACGCGTGACGTGCGTGCGATTGGATGGGAGGCCATGGAACAGGATCAGGAGCGCAATGATCTGATCAAGGAAGCTGCAGGGCAGTCATACTCATAACATAATGAAAGTCTGGAAGGTTTTGGACATCTGGAAGGTTCTTGGATAATGTGACAACTTAGGGATCAGTAGATTGATAGGGACAGATCAGGGAAGGTTCTAGAGGGATCGAGAAGGGGTGGCTAGTCTATAAATGGCGGAGGGGAAGACACCATTGCACCACGAGGTGCTTGATGGCAGACGAGTGTTGAAACATTGTAGGACACGGATCCAAGTGTAAGAACATTCGGTGGCCGTCAATTGTGTGTGTGCGCCCAGACCGTTGGGCTGGAATCGAATCCAAAAGCTGTGAATCAACATGCAAATCTGTCGCTCGAAGCAACAAGGGATCCCTTCCCTTTAGAAAGCGATTTCAAGGGCTAAACCTGGCTGGCGAGAAGGATAGCCATAGCATACCACATGCTATTGAGTAGCACCGGCCATGGTAAATTGCATGCTGTGAATTTGCAGCCATGCTCCTAATAGTCACCATCGACAAGATTCGCGTGGTTCCTGTTCGCTTTCATTGGCATAGTAGTACGAATTGCATCATGGGAGAAGGGCAGACCTGCGATAGGGCGCTGTAACTGCGTTGAAAAGCGAAAGCGGCCCTCTATGCACAGATACAACCACACTGGATATCAGAATATATACAAATGACGTGCTAGTGGCTTTAGGTAGTGTACATAGTCAAGGTACCAACCCAAAGGACTGGCTGGGTATCTTTATCAACACCAACCAGTTGCTAAAGCTCTAGGGGGTTATAGGTGGTTTCTTTCTTTCTAACTTTATTCTGTTTGAACCTGTGCGTGTGCAGTCCCATACTTGCTGCACGGCTTGCAAAACTGTCTCAAAAGGTGTACAGCCAGTGTTGTCAGATTCTGCTGTCATTTATGCGGTGAGACCTTGCAACTGGCTGGCTTTGCCAGGGAACTCGCTCGTATAAAAGGACAATTGAGCTTCCTGTGGAACTCGGAAAGAAATCGGCGAGCACAAGGCCAATAAAGGTGTGGCCAAGTCATTCAACAAGTCTCCCCTGCCTCAAGGGTGATTGCAAGACCTGTCTACAGTCCTGCCAACTTTCAATTGGTTTGTGCCATCTTCGTCAGTCTGTTTACAGGCTGTGCATTGTCCATCAGCTGTTTGTGTCTGGGCATTTGGGTAGGACACAAACTGTAAAGGGAGTCCCTTAATTCTGGCCGTGACTCATCAGCCACATAAGGCAGTCATAAAATTGGCCATGGAACAATCTACAATTACTACCCTTGCATAGTTTCCGCTTCTGCATTTTGAAAATTGAGCATCATCTTCTGTGGGGTTTGTTCCTTGCATTGTGCCCAATGAGAGTCTCCCAAATTTTCTATGCTCGGCATTGCGTTTGGAGTGGCCACAAGAGCAAGCAAACAGGCTGGGCGGTATTGGATGCCAGCGCAAAGGCATCGCTTTTGCTGGCATCAGAGGTCGCGTTGAAACACAGATTTGGAGGGGGGGTGAGCCCTGGTTGGATTGTGGCACGGTCCGTGTCTACTCCATTGGGGCACAGGCGCACTGGCTCGCACAAGCATGGCCTGGGAGGGGCACGGAGGCAAGTGCGGAGGCCATTGACTGAGCAATTTGAGGGGCGAAGTGCCTGGAGTTTTTGCGCTGCTTTATTTCAAACTACAATTGTGCTCGACATTCCTCCAAAAGAGCATCGCTGTATCACTTTCCAGTGGATCAGCCAGAAAGGGCAAACTGTTGCGTCGCTCTGCTGAATGGTTGGATACACTGTGGTACGTCAAATCGTGGTGTATGAGTGTGTCGCTGGTATGTGGCTAACAGCTGCAAAACAAAGAGCACCCTGATACACCATGCAGGAGCACCCCCAAACACCATGACAAGGAAATTACTACAAGCTAAAAGACGAAAGAACAATCACTGGCAGGGGTGCAGGGCACCATTCCTTTATTCTCTCAAACAACAACAGTCACTGGCAGCCTGCTGAAGCACTGTCCCATGAATGCCACTTGGCATTCTTTGCCATGCAGGCACTGTGGATCCCCACCACACAACAAGTCAATTTCCATCATTTGTTTACTTTCAGCCTATGACAGGGTGCCTTGTCTTCGCTCATTGCAATGACACATCTACTTGCATAGCAGGGCTGCTTGTATGCCTCATCTTCCTCGATCGGTGGTGGCTTCTGACCAAAAATCATCTCACATGATAGGTCCTCGAAGTTTGGGTTCATTGTCAGTGGCAAACCCAGCTGCTCAGTGAATAGGGTCTGAGTTGGCACCTTGCACATGTTCGTGCACATGCCCACACACTTGCTGCTTTCCAGGTATCTGCATTTCTTGATCTGCACCCCACTTCGCCACGTTTCTGTAATGCCAGGCTCTACCTCAATCTCGACGTCCTTTAACTCCAGTGGCCCCACCAGCCAGTAGAATCCCCATGATGTGATCCATGCATTCAGTTCTGCAGAGAATTTATTTGGAGGGAACCAGTTCCTGTAACAGCACATGCCAAGGGACACACATTCAATGGGTTGCAAAACTGGGAAACACGTAGCTTTACTGGAAGTCCCCTGTTTGCTCTTTCCTATGGCCTCAATGCATATTGTGCCTTTCCTTCCAGTCACTGTGAGTATGACATCACATGTTGCCTGTGCTTTTGCACCAAATATTGCCATGATGCTTGCCAAGACATGCGCCAATGGAGATCCAATGCGCCAATGCAGAACGAAATAGCCTCTATCAGCACAACAGGTGTGGATGCATGACAAGCTGCAAATACTTTGAGCACAAGTAAGAAGGTCGATGAAGGTCATCCCTCCACGCAAAACGACTATGAGCAAAAGATAGTCAGTCTAAGCCACAAAGTGGACAGCTTTGCCATTTAAGCAATGCCATACAGTCTATATCTACACTTGGGGTGTGTGTGGCTGGGTGCAGTGCAGTTCCGCTGGGAGGTGTTACCACACAGTCTTGGACACTGACTCCCATCCGCATCGATACAAAGATAACGATGATATCAGTAGAGACAGCTGCCCGCCATGCCATCCAGGGAAAATGCAGGGAATGGGCACCGGCTACGACCATGGGCTGTTCAGTCAACTCCATCTATATTGATGACCAATGCAATATTTCTATATTTCAGGTGTGCGCTCATCACCAAAGCATCAAGCATTTAGTGGCCCTGCTGTTCAAGCAACGATGGTCGAAGCTTGCAGCAGTCCTGAACAGCAGCGCACAAGGATGCACTGCACTGAGCCTTGTATGTCAGGGTCATGCACAACAGCAACTTTGAGCCAAAGCCAAGCTGAAACTCACCTGAATCTGGCAGTAGCTCCTGGAGGAAAGAGGCCACCAACCACTGACAAGATAATGTTCTGCGCTTCTTTGGTGGTTCGACCCTTGATGACGTCACGGCCAACTTCTATGAAACAGTCATAGTCGTAGTCGGCATCAGTTGGCAGTTGCTCTGAAGAAAACAGCCACAAAATCAGGACTGAAAAACTCAAAAACTACGCTCCAGAAAACTCCCAGGGCACTCCTCATCTGCTAGACATACTTCCCATTTCCTCAGCCATTCTGGTGGCAAAGAATCTGAGGAAGAGCTTGTTTAGCCATGAGTCTTCGTACACTTCCACTTCTTCAAAAGGGTCCTGCAGCGCCCCCAAACCAGACAGTTCACCAACGACCATCTTAACACCCAACGGTTGCCGGAAAACTGCAATAAGACACTGGAGTCCAGCATTGTCACGGGCGTATACAGAGGTGCAAGGGAAGCAAGCCAGCCTTTAAAACGTGGCAACCCGGGATGACCACTTCGCCAGAAACTTGTGTCACCACTCGCAAAATTCACAGCACTCACAAATCAAGTCCACCGTCTGCAGGGCCCGCCAGTTTGGTCCGGTCCTTCTGAAGCAATGTGTACCAGTGACCCCCAAAAATGCACGTTGCATGGCGAGCTCTTCTTCGAGCTGTGGCCCGTGACAACGCACCAGTGTTCGTCCATAGACAAACTGGGTACAGGAACTTACAAGCCTTTCGATCCTCCGCTAACAGCCACTCAATCAACCTTACCTGACAAGGTCGAATATCTGGAGGACACAGGTCCAGTGGTCATCGGTCGCAGCGTGTCAACCTTAATTCCACACTGCTGAGCTGGACCACAGCAAACTGAGGCGACCAGTTTCTCCGTGGGCGCGCATGGGAGGCTGTGCGCCGGGGTGCCGCACCTTTGGGGCTCCCGCCTTGACTACGTCGCCCACTTGTGACGCTGCTCGCGGGCAATTTTGCCTTCTGGCTCTGGCTACACGAGGAACATTGATGCCCCGTGCCTTCGAAAGAAAGCGATGCGGAGGGCAGGGGGCAGGGGCCGCCACGAGCCCTATGCTGCCCTCCATCCTTTGTGCGGTCGCCAACTGCCTGCAAAGCCAATGAGCTCACCAGCAACCCCTGTGTGGACGAAAGCGTCCAATTGCACGGAGTGCCTTTGTGCTGACGTGCGCCATGACCTGTTGCACCTTCCTCATAATGGCCACAAGATGACAATGATGATCGAAGATTGACGCAGGGAATTGTTGTGGAGACGGGCTGGTCACATCAGGATGTAAAAACGGTCATTTAAAGCATTTGCAGCTGTAGTACTCCACGCGCTTGACCAACAAAGCCAGCAACGTGTTTTCGCAGGTCTCCCGTGCACAGGTTGCGTTCGTGATCTATAAAAAGGCAGCAATACACTTTCCACCGTACTCGCAGTAGTACTAAGTGGTGGTTAGTGTAAATCTGCGTAGAAAACTGCTGCCCTCGGAACACACAAGATGCTAACTCAAAGAGAGCTTCATTCACATTTGCTATGTGCCGGTATTGGTCAGCCATACACACCAGGGCATGCCAGCCCTTGTCCAGCCTTCCACTTATAATAAACACCACAGAAATATAGCTTTACTACAGTTTTAAACATGTACATGCAAACTGCCCAACTTCCACACTATAAATCTGTCGGTGCAAGCAAATCAGACCAGGATGGACCAGTTTGACACTCACACACTCCAGCCCCACAATCAGCAACCTTCCAAGGACTTTCTCACCATAGAAAAGTGCAACATTCTTTCATGTAAGCACCCACTACACAGTTTCTATGCACACTTAACTAAACGCAGCCCAATTTACAAACACTTGAGGTGATACATCAAATACATGTAGTAACTTGCATTTTGCATTAAAAAACCCCTTGGTAGGCACTGACCCTGCCCTTTGTCATGTGTGAAACACACAGCCTCACTTACCTCCTACTCCCGGTCAGACAGAACTGACTTTCGGTGAATCCCCAGTAGCCAGGGCGTTAACCCCCTGTCTGGCATGCACTGTTCGCATTTACAGGGCAGCCAAACCGGTTGCCAGTCTCCTCAGACCGAAACATAGACTCACAAGATGGCAACAAAAGGCAACAAAGTTCCCCGCAGACCGGTGCTCGTTACAGGGTTTTGTTCAACAAGGGGTACCATTCCAAACTAACAACAGCCCTTTATACCCGCACTGGGGGTTCTCCACCTCTCTCACTTCCCGGTCTGTCATTCTATCCCTCCAGACAAATTACACCATTTGCCCGGTACCTCACACACCAGCCACTACCTACCCTAACTACCTCTTTACACAACACAGCTACCCGGGTTCCTCTAACCCTTCACTCTGCGGTCTGCGACTGCTTCCACTCCGTTCAAGCCCACGCGTCCTCCTCACTCCGCCCGCGCTTCGTTCTCTGCACCACCTCCACTATCCGACCCGAGTAGGCTTGCACCCGCCTATCCTCCGGTCCGTTGAACTCCGCCCAATGGCGGTTCAACCTCCACAATCCAACCGCACTATTTGCCTTGTACTCCGTAGTGAACGGTATGTCGAACTAGACAAGGAGTACCTCCTCGCCAATTTCTTTCTCCAGCTGCAAACCCCGCTTACGCACCACCTCCACCCCACGGTCCACCAACCATTGCGCGACCGCCTCGAGGTAGGCTTCCCCACTCAGGCCGGCAGCCTGCTTCTCCACTGAGCGTGCTCCAAGCTACAGTCGCCAACAGCGATTGCGTCCCGTTATGGCGCACGGCTCAATTCTCGAGATCGGACGGGTTGGGGCCATCCATCCACTCCGCCATTCGCCCACTTCCCGGTATGCGTGCATCCCTTTCCATGCTCGCCTCCTTCGTGCCATCCCTCTCCACTGTTCGGCCTCTCAACTTGCCCTTTATTGGCTCCTCCGTTGTCACACGATGCGGTGTTTTCCGATGGAGGACGGCGCGCACCCTCCATTTCCGGTCGCCCTCTTGCGAAAGACCGGTGCTGAAGACGGCGAGGGTTGCGACTGCCTTTGCCACCTCGGCGCAGAGGGTGCTGTGCCGCCACTCCAACGGAAGTGCGCCTTCGTTCATTTTGGTCGCCATTCGGTTGGCTTAACGGGCAGTTGGATAGTGAGCCAGTAGTTTGCATCCCGCGGCCATGCTGCACCATGGAAAGACCACAACTGGCGGGCCCAGTGGTCACGCTTTCCGTTCACACAATTTTTTCCAAGGTAACCCCTCACCATCACACAACGGATGCTGGGGCACCCAGCGTGTGGTCCGCGGTCTAGTTAGTGGTGGCGTGGTTTTCAGTGTGTTCGCGGGCGATGCGCCCGCCGAGGCGCCCGATGGGGCCACGGGGCCCCCTCCGCCGGATGGCCGGCGGGCCTTGCGGGGCGCTCGTGTCTTCAGATGCGCAGTGTGGGCCCAGGCCTGTGGATTGGCCGGGCGCAGGGTGGCCGTACGCGCAATGGGTGCGCACGGCGCCTTGCGGCCTGCGGGTGCAGCCGCTGGGAGGCGAGAGTGGGCACGAATGGAATTACAGGCTGTCGTGCGGGGTCGGTCACATGACCCCCGCACGCAGCAGTACGCAATCGACAGAACAACGTATCTAATGGGGTGGTTTGATGCCTTTCTGGGTGCCTCTCAACGGCGCCCAATCGCTGCTGATGGGCAGCCTCTCACACCTCATGGTGTGGCGTCTTGGGGCGCTCGCTTCCCCTCTCGCTCGCTGTGGTGGGCCCTTGGGATCCGATGGATCGCCGGGGTGCAGCACAGGACCCGAAGGTCTTGCGGAATAAGCTCCTCGCGCTCGGTGGCAGCAAGCGCGGGTGCTGGGGTCCGAATGCAGTTACAAAAAGTTAGGCAGGCGCAGTTTTGCCACTCCCGCGCAGTGCAGCTGACTCACCCTACATTGGGTGGCCAGCACACCAGAAAATGTACTGTACAAAGGCACAATATAAAGTAAATGTACCGGCATGTCTCCACCAGTCCCAAGGAACTCACAACCACCCAGAATACTCCATAAATGAACAGCCAGGGCCACTAAATTGGCCCCAAGAAACCTGGCTGTAACTACCCCCAAGTAATTCCACAACAGTACTCCCTCCTGGGGGAGTTTTCGCCCTCGAAAACCAGTCCCCATAAACCGGTTCCACTACCGCTACCCAATTGTAGACCTATTTCTAATCTTCAACGGGTTTGTCACGGGCGATCATTTTCTTCAATTCGCTGGGATAGTCGAAGTTCCCCTCAGGCACCCAAGAAGCATCATCAATAGACCATCCTGTCCAGAGTACCAAAAATTCCTTGACCTTCTTGTAACTGGGTCCTGTCCAACGCCACCTCAGAAGCTTTTCCACATCGTAGGGCTGATCATCTTTAGGCTCAATTTCATCTGATCTAGCAACTGCATTTGATGGTGTCCATCCTGAGACCCTAAATGGGCGCAGCAAGCTTGTGTGGAAGACTTTGTGGATCCTCCAAGACTCTGGTAAGTCAAGTTCATAGGCCACCTTGCTGACTCGGCGGATGACGAAGAATGGCCCAATGAACCTTTTTCTGAGCTTGCGGAATGGTGCATTCTTGAGCGAAAGACGATCTGTACTCAATAGCACCTGGTCTCCGGGATGAAACAACCGCTCTTTGTGCTGCTGGTCGGCCTGTACCTTCTGCCGCTGTTGAGCCCGTTGTACATACTGCATAGCCCGCTGAAAAGTCTTTTGCATCCGGGACACAAACACATTGACACCCTCGATCCTGGTGATATCACTATCCCGAATGAGGTCCAATGGAGTATAAGGGTCATACCCATAATTCAGGTAGAATGGGGTATACCCCGTGGACAGTGACACACTGTGGTTCATGACAAATTCCACAGTGGATAAATTCTTCTCCCAGTGTGTTGCTTCGGAAGACTCATGAATTGTGCACCTGAGGACCATCTCCACCACCTTGTTCATCGCCTCCGTTAATCCATCTGTCTGTGGGTGATGAGATGTGGACATTTTGAGCTTGCTCCCCATAATTCTCCAGAACTCACGCTAGAATTTGGACACAAATCTGGGGTCTCTGTCTGATATGATGGAACGTGGTATCCTATAAAGTTTTCCAACCTGATCCCAGTAAATCCTTGCTGTATCAGCAGCCGTGATGGTCTGCTTAACTGGGATCAAGTGCACCATTTTGGTAGCACGGTCCACCACTGTAAGAATTCCATCGTTGCCCTGCTCACTAGCTGGTAACCCCATGATGAAATCCATATTGACGTCAGCCCATTTCTCTTCAGGAAGCTCCAAGGGCTGTAGCAACCCAGCTGGTAATCTGTGGACACTCTTTTCTATCTGGCAGACCTGGCATCCCAAAACGAAGTCTCTGATATCCACTATATGGTATGGCGAGTAGAAACTCTACTGTACTTTCTTGAGCGTCTTGTGATATCCCAGGTGTCCAGAGTAAGGTACCACATGAAGTTCCTCCATAATCTTCCTCTTAATCTCTGGAACATCTGGTATCACCAATCGCCAACGCTGAATGTCCTTGTCCTCGTTATGCAACTGAATCTCCAATAGTCCATGGTTCTTCCGGTAGACACTATTGCCAACTCTGATGGTATGCTCTTGAGACGACTGTAGCTGAGTAATGATGTCGTCCCACCTGGTGTCTGTCTGATACCCCTTTTTGATGTCCTCTCTCAAAGCTAAATCCAAAGTTACCCTCGTACGAGTGACAAATAAAGAATGTGAAGAATCAACTGATGACTGAATCCCCTCTGTATCCCCCTCCAAGTTGGATCGTTTAAACACCTCATCCAACTTTTTCTGTATGGCCTCATCTGTCTGATCACCCTCACCCAGCCTCAATCTCTGGACCAACGACTCCTCCTGTGCCCATACATCCACCATGCTCCTGATATCTCTGATACTGCGGCGGGACAGAAAATCTGCGGGGTTGGTTTTGCCCGGTATGTGGACAATATCACAATCATACCCCTGCAAGATTTGAACCCACTTCCAGACCCTTCTGTTCACTAAGGGCTGGTTTGGTAAATTCTTGAGAGTGTCATGGTC